CGTTTGACCCGTTTGACCATTAGTTGTCAACATAAATGGAAATATGGATGGCATCCAATTAAGGATGACTTCAAACAAAAAAATTGATAGTTGAAGGATGACATATATACTGTTTGCCAAGTAGAGGATGACATTGAACATTTCCTTAGTAGAAGAATGGTAATGAGCATTTTTATCAAAGTATCAGAACTACAGTTGGCTTTTAACCCATTTTATCAAAATATGAAGCATCACGCTTGGTATTTAACCAACTGCCCTTTTCATGTCCAGGGCTCACTACAGCACATGACACAGAACAATAATTCGGATTCCAAATCTTTCTTGCCGACAAAATATCTCCATCGTGCACATTTGGATTTTGGTTCTCTTCCTCAACATACCGTCCCATGCTGAGTCCAGTTAAAATTTAAACTATAATTAGATTTAGATCCAGCTGGGTTCTCTTGCGACTCAAAGAAGTGTCTGATTCTCAGTTTCTGTCTCCATGGATTCCAAATCCTCTCCTGTGGAGATGTTTTTCTTTCCCTTTGTAGGAGGTGGCCACCAACTTCCCCTAATAGACATGGCCAGAATGTTTGCCGCGCACGGTGCCAACTCCACCATCATCACCACCCCAAAGCACGCCCTCTCCTTCCAAAATTCCATCCTACGCGACCAACAATCTGGCCGTACAATCTCCATCCACACACTCCAGCTACCAGAAGGGGTCGATATAGCTGATACCAACATGTCTGCACAAATCATGACAGACACCTCCATACTCCAAGAACCTCTGAGGAACTTACTGCTCCAAGCCAGACCTGACTGCATCATCCACGACTTCGCCCACCGCTGGGCGGCGGATGCTATTGACAGCCTTGGAATTGGGATTCCGAGAATCATCTTCAGCGGCAGCGGCTGCTTTGCTCACTGTGTGCAGCAAAATATGTTCAAGTTCAAACCATATGAAAAGGTGGATTCGGATTACGAGCCTTTTGTTGTCCCGGATCTTCCCGATCGGATTGAATTGACGAGATCTCAGCTTCCCATGTTCGTAATCAACGGCGGGGGTCCTAAGAGGAAGAATTTATTCAACGATGGAAATTTCGGGTCTGTGGTAAATAGTTTCTATGAATTGGAATCGGCTTATGTGGAGTATATGAAGGAATTGGGGGACAAGGCGTGGCTCGTCGGACCGGTGTCGTTATGCAACAGAGACGTCGCCGATAAAGCTGAAAGAGGGCAAAAGGGCTCCATTGACGAGCAGAGCATTCTGAACTGGCTTAATTCCAAAGAACCCCATTCAGTACTTTACATCAGCTTCGGGAGCGCAGCTCGGTTACCTCCAGAACAGCTACTCGAGATCGCATACGGTCTCGAAGCTTCCGGTCACACGTTCATTTGGGTGGTCGGAAAAAGCTTCAAATCGGAGGGGGAAAACGAAGAAAATTGGCTTCCGAGTGGATTTGAAGAGAGGATAGAAGAATCAAAGAAAGGAATAATAATCAGGGGATGGGCGCCGCAGTTATTGATTCTAGAACACGGCGCGGTGGGAGGGTTCTTGACCCACTGCGGATGGAACTCGACGTTGGAAGGGGTGAGTGCTGGGGTTCCGATGATTACTTGGCCACTATCAGCAGAGCAATTTTCAAATGAAAAATTAATCGTCAATTTGTTAAAGATTGGAGTCAAAGTGGGGAGCATGCAGTGGGGACAATCGTGGGGCACGACGCCAGGTGAGGCCGTGGGGAGAGAAAAGGTTGAGGCGGCGGTGAGGAGGCTGATGGATGAAGGTGATGAGGCTGCAGAGATGAGGAGAAAAGCGAAAGAGCTTGCCGAGAAGGCAAAGCAAGCCGTGGAACATGGTGGGTCCTCGTATAAGAATGCCGAAGCTTTGATTCAGGAGTTGAAGACTCGCCGGAGACCGGAAACCTCAACTCAGTGAGATTACTGCAATTCCCTGTATGGACGGATCGAAACTTCTTTCTAAAAAGACCTATACGTCGTCGTTTGGGCCATTTTCCCCACACAAGCATATATCCATTTGAGCTTTAGACTGGTGAGCTCCGGCTGCTCTACAACTCTGTCTTTGCTTTTGTATCTCATATTGCAATACTAAAAGAGTTGGTTTTTGAAGTTATTGTACCCAACATTTGCAAATTAAAGAGGAGAATCAGATTTGCTTCTTCTATCCAGGTATTTTCCTCTTTGTTTTGCTTGGCTATTTGGGACAGGAGGACTGAGCTTGGACTTCTCAGTGAAAGTCAATGGTCAGTCCCATTCACCTCATGTAACAAATTTTGAGATTGCTTAATTTGGAGGCTTTGTTTAATCTCAGTCTCATTTCATGTTTTTATTATTGTGTATGGATTGATTGTGGTGGTTTAGGTTTAATTTAGCAAAGCCTTGTTTACAAATTGTGTTTTCCAATAAAATTGCTCTGGTAAATCCATTTAGCAACATAAACTACAGTATAACCCAAAAGCTCATATATTGCTTCTAAAAAATAATGCACTTGGTCATTTCCATTATTATCGTATTCTTTCATTTAGACACACCATTTTACTCTTGGTTGTAACTCACAATGAGTTGGGGCCTATGCCATGATCTTCTCAAATTCTCATAAGGTGAACTCCTTCCCATGCTTGTGTCAAATTCTTGATTTTGCAGCTAGTCTAATTCTCCCGCGAGAATTAGAAGCTCTTACACTAATTTGTTTAAGGTAAAACGTGAAACAAGCATAAACATACATATAACTAGTTATGGTTATAGTTACTCTTTAAATTTGTTAACGCTACACATATTGTCAAATTTTTATCTTAATTTAATAATTAATAACGAATAAAATAATTAATAATTATTATTTAATAAATTATAAAATGAATTTATAAATAGAGAATTTCAAATATGATAATCAATTGTTGAAAAAACAAAAGAAAAAATTTTTAAATTGATAAAACTACAGGTTAATTGTGTGGCTCTAACAAAATGAAGGGCCACAATAACGACAACCCATACAAGTCATGGTGGGCTTAACAAACATAAAAGAAGATGTATATGAAATTAAGCTGTTTTTGTATGCGCATACTTCTTTGATTTTCTTTCCATTCTCATAACATTCAAAGGTTGCATTCTTATAGCAACCTAAGCTTAGTACACAAAGTAGAGATGTTCAACCATTTCATGATTCCATGATTCAAGAATTACATTAATGAATGGCTACACCTCAAGACATTGACCAACATTACAAAGGTAATCTCACTAACTCAAGCAAAACCAAACAAAATTGTATGGACAAGGTTTTTGCACATCAAGCAATTCCTTATATATCCTAAAAACCTTCATGCCAAACTTCCAAGGTAATATTTGAGTTTCTATGATTGAAACAAAAAGTAGTGCGAATTAAGAGTTCAAAATTGATGAAAGTATTGTGTGAAACCAAATTGTTTTTCAACCATGAATGATACCAAAAAGGTCTAAGCTATCAAGGTGACATCCCCACATACATAATCTCTTTTATTTTTATATATCTTGGTTGTAGTTATGGTCATCCATCATTTTGTTAAGATCACCTTTTTTTTTTTTATATATCAGTTATTTTTAACAATCAAACTAAATAGAATTGGGTGATCTTAACAAAATAGTAGGTGACCACAACCACACCTCTATATCCTCATACAATTATGATGGCAATTGCACAGAACATATACATAGAAAGAGCTATTGCCACAAAAAAATCTAATTATCCACTTCCCACTCTAGTACCGTCAGAGCCTTATCACAGTTGCAAGCCCTCACACAGAAATCAAACACAGCAGAACATAAAAGATTCACAATTGTAAACTAAGTAGAGCTGCAGGGAGAGATTTGTACCGCACTTTTTGAGACAAAGTAAGCCAGGTTAGCTTTAATCCAATAAAACAACCTGAACTTTATCTAATCTAATACTAGCTCTGGGTTGTTTTTTTAGATGTCCCAACTTGAGGTTGCACACTTGGGAGATAGGGGGAAACAAAAAAAGAACAATAATTATTGCTTGAAATACCATATTTCTCCCTAATAAATGCTTTCTCACTTTATCAATAGGTTAGAATAATAGGGGTAAATTTGAAAAATGAGCATTTAATGTCTTTTGCCACCAAACAATCATATTATAAAACTTCTATGGAGCTGCTCTCTCATAGCCTCACAAAAACCAAACCAAATGGTATGGACAATTCTATTAAAAAAATAGTATGGACAAGGTTTTTGCGTATCAAGCACTTCTTTCTCCTAAAAACCTCCACGCCAAACTTGCAAGGTAATATTTGAGTTTGTATGATTGGAACAAGCAGTGTGAATTAAGAGTTCAAGATTGATGAAAGTTAGTGTGTGAAACCAAATTACTTTTCAACGATGAATGACACCAAAGAGGTCTAAGCACTTCAAAATTTATGAAAGTAGTGAGTGAAACCAAATTGCCTTTCAACCAAGAATGACACCAAGAGGTCTAAGCTATCAATATGACATCCCCCCATATGTAAGCTCATTTGTTCTTATTTATCCTCAGACCAAACTGTGTCTGTTACACAACATGATCTGTTAGTGTTAAGAGAAAAATTATTAGCAATAACTCCACCGTCCACCTTTGGTTCTTTCTCCAACCCCTAGTCCATCCCGTGTTAAGTTATCTATATATAGCAGGCACGATTATGGTTTCTTAGCTCCATCTCGGATTCTTCTGAGGTTGAAAACTAGTTTATGTGTCCATGGATTCCAAATCCTCTCCTGTTGAGATGTTTTTCTTTCCCTTTGTAGGAGGAGGCCACCAAATTCCCCTAATAGACATGGCAAGAATGTTCGCAGCCCACGGCGCCATCCCCACCATCATCACGACCCCAAAGCACGCCCTGTACTTCCAAAAATCCATCCTCCGTGACCAACAATCTGGCCGCGCAATCTCCATCCACACCCTCCAGCTACCAGAAGGTGTTGATTTACCAGAAACCAACATGTCTGCACCACCCAGCACAGATACCTCCATGCTACTAGAACCACTGAGGAACTTGCTGCTCCAAACCAGACCCGACTGCATCGTCCACGACTCATTCCACCGCTGGGCTGCAGATGCAATCGACAACCTTGGGATTGGGATTCCGAGAATTGTGTTCAACGGGAACGGTTGCTTCCCTCGCTGCGTGCAAGAAAATATACACAGATTCAAGCCGCATGAGAAGGTGGATTCTGATTACGAACCTTTTCAGATTCCAGATCTTCCCGATCGGATTGAATTAACCAAATCTCAGCTTCCAATGTTCCGAATCAGACATATGAACGGTGGCGACGGCGGTCCTAAGAGAATGCATAAACCCGACGAGAAAAATTTCGGGGTTGTGGTGAATAGTTTCTATGAATTGGAATCGACATATGTAGAATACTTCAAGAAAGAATTGGGGAATAGGGCATGGCTCGTCGGACCAGTGTCCTTATGCAACAGAGGCGTCGACGATAAAGCTGAGAGAGGGCGAAAGGCCTCCATTGACGAGCAGAGCATTCTCAATTGGCTCAATTCTAAAGAACCCAACTCCGTCCTTTACATTAGTTTCGGAAGCTTAGCTCGATTAGCCCCAGATCAACTCCTCGAGATTGCCTACGGTCTTGAGTCTTCCGGCCACTCGTTCATTTGGGTGGTCGGCGAAATCTTCAAATCTGAGGGGAAAACTGATGGAAATTGGCTTCCGGCCGGATTTGAAGAGAGGATTAAGGAATCTAAGAGAGGAATGATAATCAGAGGATGGGCACCGCAATTATTGATACTAGAGCATGCTGCAGTGGGAGGGTTCGTGACCCACTGCGGTTGGAACTCAACATTGGAGGGGGTGAGCGCTGGGGTTCCTATGGTTACATGGCCGATAACGGCAGAGCAGTTTTCGAATGAGAAATTGATAACTGACGTGTTGAAGATTGGAGTCAAAGTGGGGAACCTGGAGTGGGCTTCGTGGAGCACAGAGCCCACGGCGGCGGTGGGTAGAGAGAAAGTGGAGGTGGCGGTGAGGAGGCTGATGGGTGGCGGTGAAGAGGCGACAGAGATGAGAAGGAAAGCTAGGGAGCTTAGGGAGAAGGCTAAGAGAGCCGTGGAAGACGGTGGCTCCTCGTACAAAGATGCCGATGCTTTAATTCAGGAGCTGAACGCTCGCCGGAAACCCGAATGAAATTAACCATGACAGGATTCATAGTTTACAGGATGATTGTAAATTAAGAGTGGGCAGTGAAATTATTAAATTATTCTTCATAAAATAATATAAGATAGAGTTTATTTGATAGATGGTAATAAATATATTATTTTATATTTAATTCATATAAAAATTTATAAAAGATTACTGTATTTATTTTAATAATAATATTATTATTATATTGATAATTTTAATTTTAATATTATCAAAAGGTAACGTTTATATTTCATGTAAATTAATTGTAAAATACAATAAATATATTTTTAATATATGATTTGAAGGCCCATGATAGAAAAGTTTTATAAAAAATAATTAATAGATTCATAAGTGTAAATACATTTTAAAGTGGAGTGATTTATAAAAATATTTTTGTGATTGTTTTTATATGAGACTTTTTTTGATATTAATAAGGGTAATTAATTAAGAGAATTATATTTTACAATATAAATTGTATTAAATTATAAAATATAAACTATTAAATAAATAAAAATTAAAAAATCCAACCTTCATTATTAATGTCATAAAATTCAATATAATTTAAATTTCACAATACTTTTCTTATTTATTATTACAGAGACGGCTTCTTTAATCACCACACCAGTGAAAGAAAAAACCTCTTCTACTAGAATAAGCCTATAGTTAATGTCAAATGTCATGGCACTAAAGGTCAGTTGCCTGCAAATACCAGACAAAGCATTCTGTCCTGTACTTCTGTTATCCTACTATAGTTTTTCTTCAATCGCTCCTCCATTCCATTCCAAAGAATTAATAATGGATACTGGAAAAGCTTCTCGACTTCACATGTTCTTCCTCCCCTTCATGGCTCAAGGTCATATGATACCACTTGTGGACATTGCCAAGCTGTTTGCGATACGGGGTATGAAGTCAACCATAATCACCACTCCTCTCAATGCACCTCTTTTCTCTAAAACAATTGAAAGGAGCAAGAATTCAGGCATTGATATTGATATCAAGATCCTCGAGTTTCCTTGTGTTGAGGTTGGCTTGCCTAATGGATTAGAAAATGTTGAGTCAATCACTTCAGAGATGGGTGTAGAGACGGTGAACAAATTTTTCAAGGCCACAGCTCTGCTCCAAGAACCCCTTGAGCAGTTGCTTCAAGAATTCAAACCAGATTGCTTGGTTGCTGATATGTTCTACACTTAGGCTACTGATTCTTCAAGCAAATTTGGAATTCCCAGGTTAGTGTTTCATGGAACTAGTTTCTTTTCATTGTCTGTATCAATGTGTTTGAGACAATATGAGCCCCACAAGAAAGTTGTGTCTGATTCAGAGCCCTTTTTGGTGCCTTACTTCCCTGGTAATGTCATGTTCATGAGAAAACAATTGCCTGAATATGTCACACATGATTTCGAAAGCAGTTTTTCCAAGTTAATTAAAGTATCTAGAGAAACAGAGGGGAAATGCTATGGGGTGATTGTCAACAGTTTCTATGAACTGGAGGCAGCTTATGCTGATTATTATAGGAATGTTTTGGGAAGAAAGGCATGGCATATTGGTCCAGTTTCACTCTCTAATAAGGCCATTGAGGATAAAGCAGAGAGAGGGAAAAAGACATCTGTTAGTGAACGTGAGTGCTTGAAGTGGCTTAATTTACAAAAACCCAACTCAGTTATCTATATTTGTTTTGGAAGTATGGCCAGGCTTAACTCTGCTCAACTGAAGGAGATAGCAATGGGGCTTGAAGCTTCAGGGCAAGGATTCATCTGGGTTGTGAGGAAAGAGAAAAACAGCGAAGAAGAAGAAGGTTGGTTGCCTGAAGGATTTGAGAAGAGAATGGAAGGGAAAGGGCTAATAATAAGAGGATGGGCACCACAGGTATTGATTCTTGAGCATCATGCAATTGGAGGGTTTGTGACACATTGTGGATGGAATTCAGCTTTAGAAGGGGTGTGTGCCGGGGTGCCTATGGTTACATGGCCATTGTCAGGAGAGCAATTTTACAATGAAAAGTTGGTGACTCAAGTTTTGGAGATTGGGGTTGCTGTTGGCGTTCAGAAGTCAGTCAAAAGGGTAGGGGACTTTGTGAGGAGAGAAGCATTAGAGAAGGCTGTGAAGAAGATAGTGGTGGGTGAGAGAGCATATGAGATGAGAAGTAGAGCCAAGGCAATAGGGGAAATGGCAAGAAAGGCTACTGAAAAAGGAGGTTCATCTTACTCTAATTTGAATGCTCTGATTGAAGATTTGAAGAGCTTGCGCTGCCGTTGAACAAGGGAAGAAAGTTAAAAAGAAGAAAGCTCATCTATTTTATTTGGTGTTTGGTACAATGAAATTTTAACATATTGAATGAACTATACCGCCTGCAGTGTACAATAATCCAAATTACTGTAAATTAAAAATTATATCTATAATTAACTATGTACTTTTTATTCATTTAGTGCTTTTTAATATGGTTAGATCAATGAATAAATAAGTGTCACATTGTAAGACAAATTTAAAACTTAAGTTTTGGAACCAATATTTAAAAAAATTAATTTCCTTTAATATACTAAATTAATATGAGAGGTGTACCTTAAAATTGATTGAAAAAAAATTAATTTTGAGATATACAAAAACTAATTAGAGACACTTTATCTGTAAATCTTTTAAAAAATTTACTGCCTCCTACATTTTGTTTCAGCTTGAGCTTGGAGTCTAATGTATGTTAGAGACACTTCAACATGATACGTAGAACATGGCAACTTGTGTTCAAATTTTGTGCTGACCCTCACCGGTGGCATAGAAATTAGACAAAATATTAGCTTTGACTAATCAAACAAATGATGATTTTCTACTTATCTTACTAATTCCTAATCAAAGTTAATTGCTTGGTCTAATAGAGATTTGCGCCTGTACTCAATAACATGCATATGATGTAAACATCACCCTTCAAGGGATTCAAATTATATAATGTTCTTGTAATAATTAATAATCCTAATACGCTTATAATATTCAATCCTTTGTTGGCAATTTTAAACACTAGACATTAAAATTTTCATATCCATTGTTCACATCTTTAGTTTTCTTCGCTTCCTAAATTATGTTCTGTCTGAAGCCTTACAACGTTCACTAAATCAGCTTCATAGTTTCCCTCTCACATGTTCCTTTTTCTGTTCATCGCACATGGCCACATAAACATAATACCTGCTCTGGACATGACCAAGCTATTCACGATACGGGGTGTGAAGGCTACCATAATTGCCACACGTCTTTCTGATAAAATTATAATAATAATAATAATAAATTATTATTGTTATTATTATTGTTATTATTATTATTGCTACTCTTCCCAATGCTTCTCTCTTTTCCAACAAAATCCAAAAGAAGCAAGGCTTTCCGCATTCCCGTCAATATCAATATCATCAAGTTTCTTTGTGCTTAAGTTAGGTTATTGGAGAGATAAATCAATCTAACATTGGGTTTGTCAAAGTATTAACTCAATAAAATTATAAACATGTAGGTATAAGAGTTACTTATTATGACTATTAGAAATTTGGTCTTTGTCCACTAATTATTTTTCAATGCAATTTGCATTGAAAAATAATACACTAATTTTCAATGCTTAATACTAGAGAGTAAAATTCAATAAAAGTTAATATAAAATATCCATAGTTTGCAAATACTTTTGAAGGGTAACCTATAGTTTAGCATCATAATTTGGTTTAGTGCATATTTTTGTGTTATTGTTAACAAAGAAAAATTTTAAAAATTAAAAATATTATCTTTTATTTTTTTTTTAGTACAAAACATTAGATAATATCTAAAATCATCAAAATTAAATTGTAAAAATGATTTAGGATTATTTTCTAACATTTCAGTGCTAAAAGATAACATGTATCAATTAAATATAATTATTTTTCAACACTTAATGCTAGAAAATAACTCTAACCTAATTGTAGAGGTTATTTTCGATCATTGAAAAATAGTCATATTCAATTGGTACAGCTAATTTTCTAGCACTAAGGCTGAAAAGTAATCTTATCCAATTGGTGCCATGTATTTTCTAAATTTCAGCTTATTTTCCAATTCTTTCTCCAATTATTATTATTTTTAGTTTAGATAGTTAAGATATCACCAATTTTAATGCACCTTGAATGTACCCCATATTGGCCCCGTTCTTAAAGAAAACTAAATTTTTTGGGCGTGAGCACCAAAACTCAAACCGGAGCCTAACCGCAAACCTATGTCCCCTTCAAACAAAACTTTGGGGCGTGCATTTTTGTTTTACCGTCCAAATAGTTATAAATCAACTTATAAAGTAAATATTCTCAATTCAAAAATTGAAATTCGAATCTCTTCACTCTTAAATTTTAAATTTGTTAAGAAAAAAAAAACAAAGCTTTGGCGCATTGCGATTGATCTTGGATGTGGGTTTAGCGCTGCAGAAGTGTCGACTTGGATTTCTATTAAAAAAAGTCAACAGAATTTCGACCAAGAAAATGGAAAGAATGTAGTGGCCAGCTGTTTAAAAAAAAAAAAAAACCAGAGAAGTAAAAAGTAGCCGAAATTAGAAAAGAAAAAGAAGGCGTAAAGAATGTGGCTTGTAGCCTTTCCAACGTTAAAATTGTAAGAGGAAATCGAGTCCTAATCAACACAAAAAATAAAATAAAATAAAATAAAATAAAGAAAAAAAAATCATAAATGCCACTTAGATACATTCAAAGTGTGATTTGCTGGATGCATGAAACGTCCTTGCTAGAAAAGTTTGAATAATTTAATCCCTAAATTAGTGCAATCTATCAAGTACTTTATGGATGGAATAAAATGTTTATTATTGTGAAATTGTGAGGCTGTTCTGTCCAATAATTGCGTGGAAGCAATTATGCGGGATATTCTCTGTTATGTGGGTCTTCTAGTCGTGAGCTCGGGAAGTCATCTGGTTTGTGGTTATTGGACCATTTGGTTGGTTGGGAATTTTAAGGAGTCATCTTCTAGTGAAAGCTTCTTGAATTGGTCATTTTAGGATCTTATTATTGGATAACTAATTGGAGGGGCAATGTATAGTTCTCATTGTCAGAGTGAAACGTTGATCCTAGGAGATGTGACATGTATTTTGGGGAAAGCCAACTGCTCAGCCAGGTGGAGTTTGATGAGGTTAGACTGGTGCTGTTTCATTTGTTAGAATGTAGGTTTCATGCACCAGGTCTCATTAGAATTTCAATCTAAAGCGTGCTTAATGGAGAGTAGTATTAGAATAGGTAACTCCTTTGAAGTTCTTCTATTGCACTTTTTATCTTATTTTTAACTTTCAAGGTTATATTTATTGATAAATAAATATCACTTTATAAGGTAAGCGTAGGGTTTAAGTTTTAGAGCCAATAATTAAGAAAATTGATTTTTTTTAAATGCACTAAATTACTATGAAAAATGTACTCTTAAGATTCATTAAAAAGAAATTAGTTTGGATGTGCGTAAAAACTAAAACAGGACAACCTAACAGGAAATGTCATAAAAAAATATTAGGAGCTATAGGTGAATCTGGCTTGAGGCTTGAGACTTAAATTGATCATTTTTATGGAATGCAATCCCTCTTGTATCATTTCTTATAATTCTTAAAACCTTTTATTTTTTTCAGATAAAGAAAAAAAGAAAAAAGGGAAGCACATTTCTTTCGGAGCAGAAAGCACCACTATTTATGAAGAAAAAACACTAACACAGACAATTAAACGAGTGCATAATTAAAAATGAACACCAAATTACATGAAATAAATGAGAATGTTTATTTCTTGTCAGATTCTGTGTACTTAGTGGCGAAATGAACCCAATTCTTCAATCAGAGCGTTCAAATTAGAGTGTGACGAACCGCTTTTTCAGTAGTCTTTCTTTCCATTTCCCTCAATTCCTTGGCTCTGCTCCACATTTCCTCAACTTTTTCACCTTCTATTATCTCCTTTACAGCCTTCTCTATTGCTTCCTTCTGCACAAAATCTCCCACCATTGCAACTGACTTACTGACACCAACTGGGATCCCAATCTTCAAAACCTCTGTCACCAACTTCTCATTGTAAAATTGGTCCGCCATTATTGGCCATGTGACCATGGGAACACCCCCACAAACACCTTCTATGGTTGAATTCCATCCACAATGTGTCACAAATCCTCCAGTTGCTTGATGCTCAAGAATCAATAGTTGTGGTGCCCATTCTTTTATTATTAACCCTTTCCCCTCCATTCTTTGCTCAAATCCTTTCGGTAACCAATCCTGTTCTTCCCTACTGTGTTTTCTCACAACCCAGATGAATTGCTGACCTGAAGCTTCAAGCCCCATTGCAATCTCCTTCAACTGAGCACAGTTGAATTGGGTCAAGGTTCCAAAACATATGTAAACAACTGAATTTGGTTCTTTGGAATCGAGCCATTTCAAGCACTCGTGTTCATCAATTGATGCTTCCTTCTCTCTGTGAGCTTTATCTTCAATTCCCCTATTGTAAAGGAAAAATGGTCCGATATGCCACATCTTCACTCCAAATTCATTCCAATAGTGATCAGCATAAGTCCCTTCCAGCTCATAAAAACTGTTAACAAGTATGCCATAGCTGTTCATTGCTGATTCTCTTGATGCCATCACCAACTCAGAATATCTTTTTGAACCCATTTGTTTTCTCGTCAACTTGATATTATCTGGAAAGTTAGGCACCACAAAAGTTTCAGAATCAGACTCAATATTTCTATGTGGCTTGTACATCTCGAGGCACATTGTTATACACAACGAAAAGATACTAAATACACAAAACACCAACGTGGGAATACCAAATTTCCCTGCCGAAGCAGTAGCCCAAGGATAGAGCATGTCGGCCACCAAGCAATCTGGTTTGGATTCTTGCAGTAGTTGCTTAAGGGGTTCTTGTAGCATGGTTAGGGCCTTGAAAAATTTCATGCTTTCTTCAGGAGAAGTGAGTGCATGAGCATCTTCGGTTCCCTCCAGTAACCCGACCACGGCACAAGGAAACTTAAGGATCTTGATATCAATTGGGATACCTGCATACTTTCTTCTTTGGATACGATCGCAGAGGAGAGTTGCATTAAGCGGAGTGGTGATTATGGTTGACTTCACACCTCGCGTCGCGAACAGAGTGGCCATATCCAAAATTGGTATCACGTGCCTTGAGCCAGGAACGGAAAAAAGAACATGCGAAGCTGAGAAGAGGCTTGAATATCAGTCCCCATTTTTGAACAGTAAGGAGAAGCTAGAATATTGTGGGCTTGCATGAAATTGGCAATGTCAAGTATTTTATAGAAAGAGTATAGGATTATTTTATGACAGGATGTTGGGTTTAAAGGGGCAATTTCGATGGCCAGCTCACCTCAATTATTTTATGTTGGGAATTTCGAACACCACAATCCCAACAAGTGAAAGTGATAAAAAAAATTAAGACAACAATTGAACGTGGTTCGACTTGTACACCTCTCAACAAGTCTACGTCCACGGGAAAAAAAGAAATAAATCCACTATTAAGAAAAATAGTACAATAATTTGGAAATTCTCTCACTTAAGAAGCTCCCAAATTCTCCCTAATACTCTCTCTTAATTTACACAAGGATTTCTCATAATTTCTCTCTTTCTTTTCTCTCACAAGAGCTCTCCCTCAATTTCTCTTGCTTTCTCCTACTCTTGCTTTCTCCTACTCTTGCTTGCCCATTGCCTTTGCATGCATGGGTATTTATAGTGAAAAATCCAATTACCCATGCACCATTTTTCTTTGCCTCATTACCACTCGGCCAAGATTTTCTTTGCCCATTAAATGGGTCAACATGCAATCTTTGAAAGATTTCAACAAATCAATCTAGCCCACAATTGGCTTATAGGCCGGTGAAGCAAACTTCCACATGGAAAGTCCATGTGTTCACATGCATGGGGTTAGACTTTCTTCCAACAATCTCCCCCTCCAACCCCATGGGAGGAGAAACCAACCATGACTCCAGCTCCCCCTGCTCAAGAGCACTTTATCATGGTATTCTATTTTTGAAAGTTTCCTTCTAGTATAGGATAGGACAAACCTACACTAAGTGTACTGTGGAAATTAATTTTGAACCAAAATATGATTCGAGGGAAAATCACACCTCCTCGAACCATCATCAAACACCACTTCATTATTGAAGCTCACTTTCTTCTTAGTCTTATTAATTTCCTTGCCATCTACCAAGATCCCTTTAGGCTTCCAAACCATCTTCCTTATGATCTTGTTAAGCCTTCGCTCGGGATGTTGCTCAAGCACATAGATGTTGTGCTTGTTCTTCCTTCCACGCAAAACAAGTCTCCCACCTTTGTAGACCTTGCACCATTCTCGCTTTCCGACATACTTGCACCCTCGTGTTGTTAACTCACTCAAAGCAATAATATTGCTTGAACACTTGGGCACATATCTTACATTCTTGAGAATCTTGGCTTTCCCATTGTGAACATTGAGATGAACATCTCCTATGCCTTCAATATTCACCTTCTCACCGGTAGCCACTGTTATTTTGCCAAGCTCCCCTCGAACCAAACTCACAAATTTAGAAGGATTATTGCACACATGCATGGTTGCAGCAGAGTCCAAAATCCACCGTTGATTGTTTTGCTCCACCTTAGGATCACACTCTTCACAAGCTAATACTTCAATCACATTTTCTTCAACAATATTAGCCTCCCCCTTACCCTTGGTTTCTTGACTTTTCATCAATATTTTCATATTAGAAAAGTCCTCCTTAAACTTTGAGCATTTATATTGTTTGTGACCCAATTCACCACAATAAAAACACTGCACTTCACCATAATCCTTCTTAGGTCTAGATTTCGACCTTTCTCGATTTCCTCCACCTCCACGTCCATTGGATCTTCCCCGAGAGTGCTCCATCACCAAAGCATTAGTTTGATTTGCACCATCATCCTCCCCAAGAAACTAATCATTCTCCAACAACATGGATGTACATCTTTCATCACCAAGGTAGTCTTACCACCTAGCATGCTCTGCACTAGGGACTTGTAAGACTTTGGCAAGGATGCAACTAAAAGCAAAGCATTTTCCTCTTCTTCTAGAACATTCCCGGCATTCACTGCTTGTGTCACCATCATGTTGAAATCAGATAAGTGCCTGTGAATCTTAGTGCCTTCTGCCATCTTCAATTGATATAGCTCCATCTTTAAACACAATCGATTGGTTAAATATTTTGAAGCATATATCTCTTCAAGCTTTCTCCACATGCCTATTGGAGTAGTCTCTGAAAGGACGTTGTATTTTACCTCCGATGCGAGCACCAGCCGAATTTGACTTGCTACCTTCTTTTGGATAGTACTCCAATCACTGTCCCTCACCTGAGCTGGCTTGGTCTCTTCTAAAGTTGCATCAAGTCCTTGACAAGTAAGGACATCTTTCACAGTGCTTTGCCATAGAGCAAAGTCATTTTTGCCATCAAACAACTCAATTGAATACTTCATGGCTTCAATTTGCATTTTGCCACAACACTAGGAGCTTTACCAATAGCTCTGATACCACTTGTTGGGAATTTCGAACACCACAATCCCAACAAGCGAAAGCGATAAAGAAATTGAGACAACAATTTAACATGGTTCAACTTGTACACCTCTCAACAAGTCTACGTCCACGGGAAAGAGAGAAATAAATCCACTATTAAGAAAAAGAGTACAATAATTTGGAATTTCTCTCACTTAAGAAGCTCTCAACCGCTAGCTTCAATCTATAGAAGCTCCCAAATTATTGTACTCTTTTTCTTAATAGTGGATTTATTTCTCTCTTTCCCGTGGACGTAGACTTGTTGAGAGGTGTACAAGTCGAACCACGTTAAATTGTTGTCTCAATTTCTTTATCGCTTTCACTTGTTAGGATTGTGGTGTTCGAAATTCCCAACAAGTGGTATCAGAGCTATTGGTAGAGCTCCTAGTGTTGTGGCAAAATGCAAACTGAAGCCATGAAGTATTCAATTGAGTTGTTCGATGGCAAAAATGACTTTGCTCTATGGCAAAGCACTGTGAAGGATGTCCTTACTTGTCAAGGACTTGATGCAGCTTTAGAAGAGACCAAGCCAGCTAAGATGAGGGATAGTGATTGGAGTACTATCCAAAAGAAGGCAGCAAGTCAAATTCGGCTGGCGCTTGCACCGGAGGTAAAATACAACGTCCTTTCAGAGACTACTCCAATAGGCATGTGGAGAAAGCTTGAAGAGATATATGCTTCAAAATCTTTAACCAATCGATTGTGTTTAAAGATGGAGCTATATCAATTGAAGATGGCAAAAGGCACTAATATTCACAGGCACTTATCTGATTTCAACATGATGGTGACACAAGTAGTGAATGTCGAGGATGTTCTAGAAGAAGAGGAAAAAGCTTTGCTTTTACTTGCATCCTTGCCAAAGTCTTACAAGTAAGGACATCCTTCACAGTGCTTTGCCATAGAGCAAAGTCATTTTTGCCATCGAACAACTCAATTGAATACTTCATGGCTTCAGTTTGCATTTTGCCACAACACCAAGAGCTCTACCAATAGCTCTGATACCACCTGTTGGGAATTTTGAACACCACAATCCCAACAAGCGAAAGCGATAAAGAAATTGAAACAACAATTTAACGTGGTTCGACTTGTACACCTCTCAACAAGTCTACGTTCTCGGGAAAGAGAGAAATAAATCCACTATTAAGAAAAAGAGTACAATAATTTGGAAGTTCTCTCACTTAAGAAGCTCTCAACCCTTAGCTTCAATCTATAGAAACTCCCAAATTCTCCCTAATATTCTCTCTTAATCTACACAAGGATTTCTCACAATTTCTCTCTTTCTTTTCTCTTACAAGAGCTCTCCCTCAATTTCTCTTGCTTTCTCCTACTCTTGCTTGCTCATTGCCTTTGCATGCATGGGTATTTATAGTGAAAAATCCAACTACCCATGCACCATTTTTCTTTGCCTCACTACCACCGGGCCAAGATTTTCTTTGCCCATTAAATGGGTCAACATGCAATCTTTGAAAGATTTTAACAAATCAATCTAGCCCACAATTGGCTTATAGGCCGGTGAAGCAAACTTCCACATGCAAAGTCCATGTGTTCACATGCATGGGGTTGGACTTTCTTCCAACATTTTGTACATTGCTGACAATTATTTTTTAAAAAAGAAGATCGTGAGTTGGAATTGCGTGGATTAAGAAAAATGAAAGAAAAATAAACAAATTTTAAAATCTTTGAATTGGGTGGATTAAGAATAAAAGAGAATTACTTTTTCATTATCTATGAAAATTGATATATAAGTTTTAATAGTGTATGTATTTAATTTAAAATTAATTAAAAATAATTAAAGTAGTCTTATTTGTATTTAAATTATATATTTTTTTATTATTTTATTAATATAAAAATTTTTATTCAATATTATACAACTCAAGATAGAAGAAGATTAAATATATATCTATATATGTATATATGTTTTAGACTGTTCTTAGTAGCAGGGCTGTTAGCTATAAGCTAAAAATGTAGCAGTACTAATCAATACGCCGTCTTAAAATAACTACTTCAAGCATTCAAATCTAGTTGGCTTAATTTTTAGTTTGAGATCCTTAAAATTAATTAACTATTTTAAAAAAATTTTCTTTAATGTTTTTATTTTTATTTTTAAAAGATAATTGTAACATATTTTTTCTGTCTCAAAATAATTCTCATTTTTTTAACTTTGAATTTGTTTTAAATTAATTATTGTTTTTTATTTTTTAAGATAAATAAATATTTTTCCTACATTCTTTTTATCATTATCTATTTATTTTAATTAATTATTTTATCACAAAAAATATCTCTTTATTTTTTATCTTTTTCTTAGAAGTAATATAGGTAAATATATAAATTGGATACAATCCTTAATTTGAAGAAAAGTAAAAAGGATTGTTATTTTGGACAAATAGAATAAAAACATTTATTTAAGTAGTGATCAATTTAAGATAAATATAAAATTTTATCAATTAATGAATTAAAGTTATTTTAAAGGAAAATTATTTGACAGGTAGTCCTCTCAATTTTTTTTTTTTAAAAAACCTATCTAAAAACTCATTTTTTAATTAATATTTTGAAAAATTAGCCATTAGATTAAAAATTCTATTTATATAAATTATGTATGTCAATTTTCAGATATATTTAAAAGGTCTAATCAATTTATTAATCTAAAGATAAATTAAAGTAAAGCAAAAACAAAAAAAAAAACTTTTTATGTTTATATTATGTGTTCATACTATGTGTTCACACTTATTTAAATAAAAAAAATTTTTGATTCACACTATATGTTCACACTTATTTATACTTATAAACTACATAATTTTTCCTTTTAATTAAACCCTTGAACTAGATCCAAACTAGATTGGAACTAGTTCAAACACTCTTTTTCACACTAAATCTAATTTTTTTTATGCAATTCAATTCAATTCAATTATTATTATATTATCCATTTCTCAAATCTAAAGATATATATAATAATAATAATAAGCTTTTTATGTTCACACCATGTGTTTACACATATTCACACCTATGAATTAGATAATTTTTCCTTTTAAACTCTTAAACTAGATGCAAAC